GTATAGGTTATGAGAACAGACACCCCCCTCCAAATCTTCCCCCCAAATCCAAAGCCCTTTTTCGGACCCCTTTTTGGCCTGATTCGCCGGGACCAAAGGCAATTGAAGCCCGTCCTAGCAGGGCCCCCCTTACACCACTCCCAAAGCCACGAAAGGGTTTCCTGGAGCGACGCGCTGGCTCGAGGGCCCGAGGCTCAACTGGTGTGAGCACGGCCGGGGGTGTATTAAGTGACACGAGCCGAAGAGTCTAAGCTTGAACCTTGAATTCGAAGCTCCAAACCCCTAAACCCTAAACCCTCAACCTTAAGCCCTAACCCTCAAACCCTCAACCCTAAACCCTAGACCCTCAACCCTAAACCCAGCTCTGCCACGCCATGCTAGGGTGCTACGGATGCCGCGAGCATGCGCCGGGCGCTGCGATGGGCCAGGCCGAGGCGGGTCGCGTAGCGTTAAAATTAGTCCTTTATCACCTTCAATAATATTACAACTAGTGAATGAAGGTGGTAAGAGATGAACTTGGGAACGACGTACGCACCGCACTGAACGAAAGAAAAAAAAGACCAAAAATTGGAGCCACAAGGTCGGTAACAAAATTCCGGTAAATCTGTAGAAGCAGGCTTCTCGCTTTGAGGTACCAAAGTTTCGGGCATTTTAACATCGCAAGACTCCCGGCTGCTTTCCTATAGGTACCGTTGAGGTACAATTATTCCCCCATAATATGCTTGCACCGCAAGATCGCCACGGAAATCGGGGGAGCTTGACAGCGAACAAAAACTTGAACCGGCCTATTCCTCACCTTTTCTTTCGAGAAGGTTCAAGATATCTTTAACTTCTCTTTAAATGTGTAATCTCCCACGCTGCTTTGCAAGAATGCTTACTTTGAAGTATGTTTGTATATTTACATTACACACTTTTACAAACACAACAACATGCGCATGCAGTCTCCTTCAAGTCTTGCCATGTTTCTAGAGATTTTACTTCGATTAAAGTATCAATGTTACTTGAAAATGTGGAGATTGCTTTCAGTAATATTACATAAGTATGAAAACACATTGGCTCGTATCTCTCACTCTGGCCTACATTTCTTTCTGTAGCTTTATCCTATTTGTTTCTTTTGTTCTGTTAGTTCTTTCTCCTTTTATCATTCGCTGTCCTTCCTTCTTCATGGTTTCTTCCTTCAATCAAACTTTCCCCTTGGCAAACCCAACCCCCCCAAATAGAAGGGTCCAAACGAAAATGATGACCGACATAACTACGGGAGGGCGTGTTGTAACCACGTCAAGGGGGTGTAATTTGCAATTAGGCCAAGAGTATTTTTGCTACCACGGCCCGCGTTTTAGTGTTTACCATGACAAGCAGTATGCTCGCCTGTTTTCCGCAAGCCCAGGAGCCGCAACTGCACTAGGTTCGCTTGAAGAGGGACGGGCAGGTAAACAGACTAGCTTCCCTGGCAGCTCCCTAGTCTGTTTACGGCCTGGCCTGCCTGGGAGGCAAGTAGAAGGAAGCCCAAATGGCTGCAGTGTGTGTCTTCCAGAAGAACTGAATCTTGTCATGGTAGCCTATAACGGGCTTGTCCCCGTAACGCATGGTCTGTGTCACTGTAACCCAAAACCTGTCACGGTTACATATGCCCCTTTCACTACGGGGCCGAAACAAAAGCGGCAAGACACAAGAAACAAAAAGCACAGCAAGGAAAAGCAGAAAGCACGAAGTCAAAAGCAATAAAACACGATTTTGGATAAGCCAAAGCAAAGGGAACAAAGTGAACATAAGCCAGAAGCCAACGAACAATGAAAGAAGACACAGGCAAAATCAAACAGCAACATCAAAGCAAAGCGAAACACAAGAAGCAACGGGCAAGAAGCAACGACAGAGAAACTAAGGAAATGAAAGGCCACAGGAGACAAGCAAAAACACATGAGCACAATACATGAGAACCGCAAGACAAAACAGAGCGGAGGACCCTCCCCCCCAAAAAAAAAAATAACAAAAACAATAACAAAAAACAAAAAAACAAAATAACAACACACGCACACACAAACAACTGAATGGTATCCTGGCTCTAAGCGATGCGCGAGCGCATGGTTTTGCTATGCCTTGATGCCATCCGCAGGTTCGTGAGCCACTTGGTGGGACACTTCCGCCCGGCCACACTAGGTGTGAAACTACTGAAGGGGAGGCAACCTGAATCTGACGGCATCTATTTCAGCATCAGCGATCCCGGTAGTTCTGCTCCAGCTGCGAACCTGCTTCAAGGCATTAGGGCCGCCAAGTGGAAACCCTTTCACATCGCTGCAAGTCACGCTGCTCTGAGTTTCGTCTGGCTCGAGGTTGGGATCCAGATCGGGAAATGTGCTGGGACCTATTGTGGTTTTTGCAAGCCAGCAGACCCCAAAATCCGTACTCTCGACCCGAACCTGCAAGTGTAGAGGCCGAGTGCCAGTGCAGCAGCTTCAACCGAATGGGAAGCCGACCGCAATTGAGCGCCTCCTGACCAAAGTTTCCACGAGCACCGCAGATGTGGCACTAATTTTGGGAGAATAACCTTCATGCAACATGTCTGTCCCATTTCTAATTGCATTGTCGTCAAGGGAGTCGGGCACGTGCCTGCCCCCAAGACACTCCCTCCCCACACCTCCCCATATGAGGATGCCGCAGTGTACCATGCTGTGATATGACGTGCAAGATGTCACAGTACAAAGATTACTAAGAGTTTGACAAGTTTGACAATGACGTCGTTCAGTGCTACGCTACGCATCTGCTCAATGCAGCTGCGCCGTCGGCAGCCTGTCGACTTCACGAAATCGCAGAAAAGCTTCTAGAGTTAGCCGACTTGCAGTCCTAAAGAGGTCTAGTTATTGCAACCACTGGCATCTAGCAATCATGCGATTTGAAGTGGGCTCCGCCCGGGTGAGCTCGGACGCCAGCATTGCCCAGCCGAACTCCGCGCGAGCCCAAGCCACCTTCGCATGGTGTCTCCGCAGGCACTGCGGAAAAGCATGGTAAAGGGGATACGGCACCAGCCACCAGCCCGTCCCATTCGGTCCCGAATGAAACACATTTCAGGCAGGACTGCGACATAAGCGCCCGCTCCGTTTTTTCTGCCGCACGTCAGCCGTTGTTTGCTTCGTGTCTTCTGCACGCCAAGCCGACATCACTACGACGCTCAGAACTTGCATCTTGGGGCATGCACAGGTCAATCTAGCCGTGCGGCAGTGTGTGTGGCCATGCGGGAAGTCTGCACCCGGCAAGTTGCCAGGTACTGTTGAGAGGCCCTGCAAGACCAAAATCCCAAACTCTGAGTCCTGATTCATGATTAGCGATTAGTGGCAGCACGTAACGTGAGCGGAGGGAAGCCTTCAAGAAAAGCAAACTTGGTCTTTCGGGGTCTCTCTTGCCCCAGCCAATGAAGTTTCGGCCAGACACGTGCTCTGCACAATCCGCGTGTCTATGTCGACACACTTGATGGATACCTCATGCAACGACAGCACGTGCCCCCCCAAAACAGGGGGTTTTCATCGTGCCGGCCCTTACATGGGGGCCTGAGATGAGGAACACGACAGCCTTTCAGGAGTTGTACTTGGGCTTGCAGGTGCCATCCTTCCGGTGTGTACAACGGCCAAAGCTCCCACAACTTTTCTCGACAGCATGTATAGGCTGACAGGATATTCTGAGTTGCAGCTTCTTATTCCTCCCTGATTGCCAGCTTCAGATGCCCGAAGTGAAGCTCAATGCCATCTGAAACTAGGCCCGAACACTACCAGAAGTGCCTGACAACCCCGATGCGCCTGGCTGCAGTATCCTGACCTGCATATGCACTTTCCGTTTTCGCATGATGTGGGACCTTGGCAGCAGGCATCGCGCATCGCCATGAAAGGATGGGTTCGGCCGTTGACGAGGCAAACTTGACCATGCTGGGATCTAGCCTGGGCCTAGCTGACATGGAGGAGCTCTTGTCCTAAATCCTAAGCCCTAAAACCCTTTTTGAGAAACCCTAAACCCAGGAGAAACTTGTAAGTCCAGCCGATGACATGGTAGACCCCTTCGGGTGGCCGCTGAAATAGACCTACATCTAGGCTTAGAGGCTAGATCCTGCCGTGAGTTTTAGCTCGCATACTGTATGTCTGCATTCATCTGAGACTCTCAGGCCATCTGAAATCTGCAGAGGCTGTGACAGGCTTTGCTCGTAATGGCTGGTGGCTGTCCCGCACATTGAGGCAATCTATTGCCAAGATGGTTTGGAGATGATTTGGAAGCCGAGCCCGAGACTTCTCAAGTGTCTTTGTTACTTACCGGAGAGGTCCTCTTGAAAGTCAAGAATTTGCTCATCGTAGCAATGTCGGTGGGAGGGGGCGGGGCGGAGTTTGCGCCGGCCGTTTACACTCCACCTTTGTTGAGGGGCGCAAATCGTCGCATCCCACGTGCTTATTTGTTTCTCTTTCACCCCGTTAGCTGACACAGGGGTTTAGGGTTGGCCAGGTCTCTCTATATGCAGGTACCTCAGGTGCCCTATCAACATGCACAAAAAGACTCTCCGGCCTCGACCGTGCCAGCAAAAAAGAAATGCGCACGTGCCCCCAGTATCGACTTCGCAATCCTGCTCGGCTGAGTTTGGTTCAGGGTTTCTTGAGGTCAAGTTGTACGGCTGTTGGGTCCGACAGACTAAATCTTCTTCATCTTGCCTGCCTAAAAAGGGCACCACTAGCCAGGAAATGGCATGAGAGTCCGAAACATTGCGGCACAAACTGCTCAGAACCGCTCAAACTGAGCCCAAAAGCGTTCAACAGCCTCCCGAAACTGAGCAGAACAATTGAATAACCTCAACCTGTGGATGCAAAGGGCAGCTCCTGGCCAGAGCTGCCTGCTTTGCTGGAAGTTCCAAGCATATTGTTCACCCGTGGAGGTGTGCAATACCCATCCTCGAGGAGGCATCGAGGAAAGAGAAGATCTATAAGGCATTCGCAAGTGGGAAGCAACGCCGGAATTGGTGGGGGAAGCGGGGAGGGGATGTCAGCGTGACCACGAGTTAAACTTGTTACAGACACACACACACACACACACACACACACACACACGCACGCACGCACGCACGCACGCACGCACGCCCGCCCGACCGCCCCAGAGCACGCACGCACGCCTCAGAGCGCGCGCACACGCGCGCGCCCGCACGCGCGCACACACGCACACGCGCACGGGCACACACGCGCACACGCGCGCACGCGCGTGTGCACGCGAACGCACGCGCTCTCGCGCACACATGCACTACTGGAGCTTGGTTTCCCATCAAACCCTGAAGCAATGCCAATGCCTTTATAAGAATGTAGCATGCTGGATTCCCTGTCTTGCGGGCCTCAGCGCATAGTCCGGTTTGGCAATAGCATTTGCCGCCCGAGCAAGATGTAGGTCCTGACCACAATTTGAAAGCGTGAGGGACCATGACTATGGAAATCGAGGTGCTGGCCATCTCAGGAAAGCCGTGGCAGCGAGCCACGAGCTCAAGCGGATCAAGGCTCGGCTTGCACAAACCGAACCGAACCAGCAATATGACACGAAACGCCCTGTGTGCACCCTCGTGGGCGTTGCTGTCGAGAGGCCTCTCGTTCGGCTGCAAAGGAATATGTTGCAGGTGCCGCCGGTGTCGGTAGTTTTGCACAGATTGTCTGCGCCTTCAGGCTGGGGAAGAGGGAGGATAGATCCAACTCAGAGCAGAATAGGTCAAGACGACGTCATCGAATCTTCTTGGACTGCGAAGCCGACTCCCGAAGGAGGTGCTTGCACACGGTGTGGTGTGAACATCTGTCGGCTAGGTCCAAGTGCAACATTCAACTCTAAAGTTCTCCGTCCAGCCGCTCGAACGCTTCTTCTTGTTGGTTTGTCTGGGCTTCGTCTTGGAGCAAGCATAGCCTGTCAAGCAGGCTGCAGCGATACTTGGTCAAAGGACGTCGACCACCAACAATTCTGTGCGCGTGCTGATGTATGGTAGGGGTCACAGGCACAGAACCAGCCGGTATGTGGGACATCTGAACCTCAGGCAAGCCACATGTGGCACCCGTGGTCGTCTTTACCTCATTCTGGTACAAACCTGCATGCACGGAGCTGGACGTGCACTCTCTGGGGACAACATGTTGCATAACGTGCTCAAAGCTCGTCTCAAGGGTGTACTGCGTACTGTCCTTGGCGCCCTAAATCCGGTTCAGATCCTTTGGGTAGGAGATGGTTCGGGGTGCTTAGACAGCAAGATCTCTCATGGCTGAAGGCCTGCAGGACAAACACAGGTGGGGTCCCCAGTGCACTGCCGCTGCTCCGGCAAAGGGCACTGAGGCAGCCGAGGATGAGGTTGCACATCCTTGGTTGAGCCGAGACATGCCAAGACCCAAATGAGCGGTCAAGTTTCCTGGAGCAGGGGTTCGGTTGGAAGCTCAACAACATGTAAAGTGAGAGCTGAGATGTGAAAATGCCGTTGTCATGCCATTGCCCAGCTTCCGGCTGACAGTCATGCTGACTTGTCGGTACAGACACAACCCTTATGTCCGCCTCCCACACATTCCAAAAAAAATTCCGCAACCTACGCTCGCGACTAATTTGAGACCAGCCGCATTTACAAAGTAGGCAAAACTGTCTGCATTCCCCAGGGCAGATTTGGGATCCCTCTCGGCCAAGTTCTCGCAAGCAATTCTCCTCAGCGCTACGCTTGCACGCCGGAAAGAAGCAACAATGACAAACTGGGGGCCCCGGGGGGGTGAAAGGACCTTTAGTGGCAGCCCCATGCACTTGCATGGTGTCACAGCAAAATCTACGGTTTTGTTTCGTGGCAGATGTAAACTTGGCACTGTCTACGGTGAATCAACAGTATCTACATATACATATATATATATATATATGTTTGTGTATATATATATATACACATACGCTGCTTTTCAATATTTTCGGTAGCCATGAAGACGGAAGGTTCCTAGCTCGATGAGGGCATCCACATGGTATGACGCCGACAGAAGCTGCCCAGTCAGAGATATTCCTTGCCAGAGGGGCCCATAGGCGACTTGACAATCCGCGCCCGTGCCTTTGTAGCAGACGTCGTCCATCAAAGCCATCCTGTGCTGTCGGGCCCCGAGCCTTCTAAACGCTCGTGCCTGCTAACTTCCAAAGCGGAGTTCTTGCACTGCATCACTGACCCCATCCCGACATGACCTAAGTTTCTTCGTGGAGCCCCTCTTGAGGCCCTCTTTGGCCTTCCTGCATATCTGGAACCTTGCACTTATGGATGAACTCGAACCAAAGTCCTTGGTTTCAAAGCCTTGGACCATTTGCCAAAATGTGCGTACCGTGCCTGTGATGAGAGGCTTCGTGTGTCAAGGTCTCCACCTGCTCTGACATGTCAGCGTTGACGTACCTGCAGCAATGTAGGCCACCGGATCCCTATCCATCCTTTGGCCACCAAGGCATGCATGCTCTGGAAGTGAGTTTGTACACCTGAGTCGTCCCCTGGGCTCCGTCTTGCAAACAAAGCTGCTTGTCGCAGAGGTTGATCAAGTATTGTCCACCTCTGCCCAGTCTCAGGCGCACTGACACGACAAGGATCCAAGGCAAGCAGGCCCAGTCAATTACAGAGGCCCAAAGACTCACGTCACCAAGGCCTTTGAACCTTAATTCGCCGAGGCCCCGGGCCGTAGGTGTCTGGGTAGCGTAAAGCAGGCACCCCAAAACTAACCCCAAAGGGGCCCCCTTTTTTGACCCTGTAGCCGACCCCCTCCCCCCTTCCCCGCTCTACACCCTTGAACCCTGCCGGCCTGTTTTTCATGTTTTACCACTCCTAAAATTGCTCTAACACAGCCTGCGTGTTACAACCCGCCCAGGCCGAGGCGCGTAGCGCTAAGACTCAAGACTTAACCTTGGAACTAGTAGCAAACTAGCACAGACAGATTCGATGCATCGGGCTCAGCTCCCCACGCTTGTTCCTGGGCTG